CTATTAATCTTGAGGAAGCAAAACGGGTCAGTAAAATCTGCCAGGGAACACACAGAGGGCAGTTTACGCATACTGGGTAGCGATTCCAAAAAAGAATATCTTGACCAACCATTGTTTGAAGTTTTGAACAATACGCCTTATTACTTACTAGTAGTAACGTGTTATGCTGCGATCTTTGGTTTAAAAGCTTGCCTACCAGAATCTTGTCACGTTGCACACACCGATAGCTCGTGGTTAGAGGAATTTTTCCCATCTGTTTTCCCGTAAAAAACATTCAGCACACGCGTTCTATGGCATCTCAAGATTGACTGCGATATGCAATTGGGATTATTTGATTACCTAAGAATTTCCGCTCACTGTTGTCTTGAAGGTTGAAAGTACTGGAATCGCAGTCACCGGCTGGTATGGGCACCTCTTTCCGAGAAATAACATTTTTTTCCGAAGTTCTCTCCAATTTGTCAACATCACAAATACAATTTTTATATTACTTGATTTAGTAACGGAGGAATTTACTGTTAGTTACAGAAAATGAAGACAGATTTCTAATTTGCAAGAGGTAGAGTAAAACAACGACGAGGTTAACATAATTTGTTCATCTCTATTCTAAATAACCCAGATTTCAACATTTCTGCATTGTTTGTAATATTCATCTCGATTGGGTCAGGAGATGTTCTGTAGTTTATTTAAGCAATGCAATACACAGCGACAAATGTATATGCGGAAGACGGTACAGATAAGAAACGTTTCAATCCTCAAACCTTATTACACATAAACAAAAATTCGCTACATTAAGTAACCCGGTCAAACACCAATATTCCCATTTGATCAGTATTTAAAAGCCAGTAGTTCCTAAGATACCAAGAGTATTGATGTTCTATGAAAACTCGAAACCAAATAATGAGCTCGTCTCACTCTCTTCCAGGTATTCTTCATCCTTGAGGCATCTAGACGATGCGCTGGCAGCCTGGCTCACGTTCGGAATAAACCCGGCCGGACATTGATCACATTTTTGCTCATTTTGAATCTGGCCATGTGGTTTGTGAACACGTTTGAGGTGAAACGGGCCGATAACCAGAGTATTCATATAGATTACTACACCGGGATGGCATGGAAAATTATTACCCACATCGCTTTGCCCATGATTGTCTTTTTCCGTTTCCATTCCACTGTTTGTTTATCTGATATCTGGGCTAATGCGTATCGTTTTCGTGCGGACTAGTCACATTTCACGGAGCCCCGCTTTTCACATCCTGTCGCATCCGCCTCGCCTCAGAACTGCCACATAGAGTATTTTTGCCTCGAACGGTTTGCTTTGCGTGCCCTGATGGCTGTTTACAGTGAACACCCAAAAGATCCCAATGGTTGAGCATCGAAGAGCCTTAAGAAAGAGCACAACTAGGGACGAGCAAAGCATCAGAGCTCCTTATCCCTTCTCTCGTTCATGTAACTGTGGTCCCGAAGAGTGACATGTTCAAAATGTGTTTTTCTTTTTCTGAATCTTTAGGAGATTAATTTTGCTCCGGTATATTTTGTGAATGAAAATGTTTTGTTACATTTCTGACTTTTACAGAATTTACCGGGATACGTTTTCGAAGTTCTCTGATGGACTCTCCTGTATTTACGATTAGTTGGAAATCGATGGGAAACAATCATCGCCTATTTGTAAACCACACACAAGAGGCGGATACACCGCTCGGTAAAAGAGCTCCGGTCTCTTCAAAAGAGAGAAGTGACTAATTTACAGAAGCTTCGACTGTGATTTCAAGCCCAGTACTTTCTAGCTTTAAGCAACTGACTGAGATTTATGCTACAATTTATACCTATCAGTCCGAGAATGTTGGAAGTGCGTCTGGTAATCCGCAATACCAATGGGACAACGCCTGACAAAATGTGATCCCAGACACCTTGTGGAGCTCATTCTGTAATGTGAGCAACCGGATTGGTAGGGTCCTATTTCACTGTGGTAATTAAAGATCGTTTGATAGGTTAGCGAGGGACGAATAGATTTTTTCGAATAAACACTGGTTATAAACTCCGTTACACTGAGGGATTTAATTTAGGTTTTCTCATCTGAAAAAAGAGACCTGTTCTTGCTGGTTATATCTGCATTACGCCACTGGTTCCAGACAGTCCAAACTTACCTCCGTTGTAACACCACTCTAGTGAATAGAGTCTTCGGAGTTATGGTCAAGTTCACTCACTTTGTTCCTAATAACAGCTTTATCCAGCAAGAGATCACATTCTTGTTCTTTATTAATTACTGCGTGAGACTGATGGCCTAGGTGTTCGCGTGGCGTTGAAGAATGGATACCTACTGGGTCTGAACAGGAACAACGACGTATAAAGTAGCGAAAATATTTCTTTGATCATTTCGCTTGTGAGGGTACTTTTGATAAGAGCGATTACAAACTATAAACTTCACGCGCAAGTACTCCCTCAACTCAGTTCCGGAATAGAAAAGATCACTCGTTTACAAGCACCTGCCAGAACCCTTTTGGAAACTCTCTACTTTGTTTCAGATACCATCAATAGCCATGAATCGGAGTAGTAATACTCGTATACGAATGATTTGGCAATTTGGTTCAGCCATGGCATGAGCTGGTTGGCGCAGTGGCAACGTACACGCCTTCCATGCGATGGGTCCGGAGTTCAAATCCCGGACAGGACGGTGGATATGCACTAATGATGAGCACTAATAAAAGCGAAACTCGAGTCTAGTGCTTCCGAGTGTATGGTTGAATCGATGAGCTGAGGACTGTGCGTGAAGGTGAAGTCCCAAGGATAGTCAGCTCAAATTATTAAAAACCAATTATCCCACACCACTACTCACAAGTAACTGTGAGTCCAACTTGAAGTATACGAATAAATCCTTGGGAAGTATGTAGGTTATTTTTGCTTTCCTCCTTTTTACTCTACAGTGAACGAGTAGTGACTGAATGTGGATTACCGTTAGGCAATATATGATACTATTTTGAAAGCGTCACTTCCCCTTTCCACCGGAGTCAAAAGTGTGAAGCGTAAGCTTCGATTTACTTGATTTTGATTGGATGATAAAAGTAGACAGTCAGTTCGTCGCACAACTTGTTGTTTCCATGGGTGGTTGAAGAACAGATTGCTCAAATTAGTGCAGTTGATGACGTGGCGTCTGGAACAGACAGGAAGCCATGAAGAACGGTAGACTTCCTCTCCATGGTTTTTAAAGTTAGGCTCTAACAACCGATGCCATAGAACATGTAATTCAAACAATATCAGTTCAGGAACGGACGTTTTCTCTCTTACTAATGAGAACGAGATCGCAAACGCAAACTCATTGTATCGAGGATTCTACTGGTCTCAGGCGACTGGTTTCTAATGGATGAACAATGTGCAGTGGCAGCTATGATTTACACCCGTTTCATATCTTCGATGATGACGGTGGGGTAAAAAAAGTTACTGAATTAGCGTTTTCTTATACGAAATATCACTCATCAGAGGATATAGTGAGTCCCTACCTAAACCTCGCCAAACTTAACAATTGGGAGGTAGTTGTGGAACAATCGAGGTTCACAATAAGGAGTGACTGAGTACCTGTGCCACAAGAACACACATAATTCCATTTACTTAGATTCATCGATCTCGTTATGGTCATTAATAACACAGTACAGCTTTGTCGTACTGGAACAGTGCGGTTTTTCACAGTTAACATCCTCATCACATATTTATTTAGGGTAGAGGCCTCGATTGCGGAACAGTTTACTCATCGTAAAAAACGAACATCCCGTGCTATTCGATAAATAGAATACATGAGATTTGAAAAATCCAGAGGTTTGAGGAACGAGTTATTAAGACAACCTTGATAGATACGATCTTGCGAAAATTGCTCATGATCTCATAGCATCCCTCCCCTCTCCGACTAACCAGCAGCTTCAGCCATACTGTTCTGCTGTAAAAGAATTAATTTACAAGAAGATACGTGCGATTTGTAGTGTAACTCGGTTTTCGATTAAATTCTGGCCTTGACGGAATTGTGCTGTTCATGAGCCTGGAGAGATTAATTTGAACAGCAGAATTAACCGAATTAATCTTAGAATGGTCGGAAATGCTCACCTAACTCGCCGAGTTCATGGGACGTGATTATTCGCTGAGTTTTATTAAGATTCAGTAGGGGATCTGAGTACTCTATCTACACCTGGTTATCAGGTTACACAATTTAACGACCGTTTGAGGTAAACAAATGAGATACAAATGCCGGTGGACGTTGGATCACCGGTTCTTGCGCAGTTCTACCGCGGCTCGGGAAACCTAGGTGATAGCGGATAAAGTACTTGATATCAACCATCTGAGTTATTGATATAATCTGATCGTTCTTCTGGTATGATTTTCAGAGAATACAGTCAATCATACACTACAGAAGCAACAGATTCAAATTCCACTTTCATTAGGGCCAATCATCGATGTGCTGATCAGCTCGATGACCTCAGTATCGACCCATTTTCTCTCATGCAATGCGTTCATACGTTCAGATTCTTATCCACTTCACAGTGGCGTCTGACCGCTGCGGGTAGTGTTGTTCTGCACTACTGCCTTTTGTGACTGGTAAACACATATTCCAAATTAACCAAACGTTCTCCGTTTTCATAAGCGTTCGGTAGTGCACTCAACAGAGTAAAGGGAGGATGTCCACCATCAAACAAGATATGCGACCTCTTAGCAGGTTCAAGAAAAGCAAAGGTCAAGTTGTTGTGAGTCGCTATTACGGGATCAACGAATTTACTGTTCGAAATTCGGAAAACAATCAGAACAGCTCATCAACGATTAATCGAAGTTGATTTCGAATTCCACATGTGGAAATGTACCGTCACAATGCTATCCTCGGAAACCAAAAACTGTCACATGCTTCAAGTGAGAAGGCCCTAGATGTTTCGATAACTTGTGCCGGGGTTTCGTCCGTAGCTGTGAATAATATCGGTTTGCTTGGGCGTGTTGTTGGTCGACTGGAACCAACTCTTCTCCCACGTCTGCAATCAACGTACATTAGACCGTGGACAGAGCACGTCATTCAAACCTGGAGATCATATTTACAACTTGATTGTAAAGTGCAGGTGTAAAAGATTACCACAAAAAGGAATGCATTTCCTCAACTGTGTGGACAGACTACAATCAGTGGGATTATGTTCCACACAGTACCGCTAAATCGGAAGGATATATTTGAGTTTGGTGTGTCGAATACCACACAACTCAAACCACAAATATCATCACTGCTCACAGTGAAGTTCATCAACTTCCCTCAGAGGAAATTATTTCAAGTTAGTGCTTAAAATTTGTCTACTGGAATACCGGTGCCAATCTTTTGGCACTATGTGGAACACACTGCCATCTCAAGCCGTTTTGCAGATGAGCTATTGAACTTAACAAGCGAAAAATTGAGGAATCAGTGGCATGTATCACGTTTCGATATCCATAAAAGGATAGACCAGTGAAACTGTGATATTCTTCACAATATGTACACAATTTAGCGCATCATTTGTTAGGGCTAAACGATTCATTTAAGGCAAAAATAAAATGGGACAAGAAGAGCAAGAGCTTGTAAGCACTTCCCATAATTGGGAATTCAGTTTGGCAATCCGGAATAATATAATTCAGTTTATGACTGAAGAGAAAAAGCAGTATCAATTGAGGCTACCCGACCCCTCCAAAAATTACCTATTGTGCACAAAACC